CCAATCCGAATGTAATTTTATTGCGGGTTCTCAAAAATTACAACCGATAGTAGAAACCAAGAGTGAATGAGAATACAGTATTATATAATTTTTAATTTTATCTATAGTTTCTCTCTCTCAAGATGGTTTCTTTGTTTGTTGATGTTTTTACAACATCACATCCGTCAATTTGTTGGTAACCCAAGTTTGGCAAGGAGAGACATATTAATTTTTGTATTTACTGAAGAGAATTCTAAAGAGTGTCGAAAAGTACAATTGATTACATCACTAATTATGAAATAAAGGCGTAATAAAATTCCTTATTTTATTACTTTGTATAGTGATTAACACGCCATACTCTCATTCGTCTTGTTGGTTTCTACTCAATATATAAAATATAGATATATGTGTATGTGAATGTGTGTGTGTGTGTGTGTGTGTGTGTGTGTGCGCGCGCGCGCGCATGCGTGGTATAAACAAAATTAAATTAAATTATATTTTTTTTATTCCAAATAAAGGATTGATTTATAAGATTAAATAAAATTAAATATCATTTTAATCTTCAATATGCTACAAAGTTATATTTTACTCTTATTTCAAACGGTACACAAGATTTTGATCCATAATAGATAATAAATCTGTATCTTTTTCTTCATATTTGAAATTGCTTAATTAAATCTGAAATAAGTGTTACATTATATGGTAAAAATATATTTATTATAATGTAAAAGTATATTTATATTTATATTACATCGATTTACAACGGGTATGTGTATTTATTACAGTATATTCAATTATAATCTATTTGCAGAAATGCTTTTCATGTCTACATTATGTATTCATATTTTGTCAAATATTTAAATTTACTTAATTTATTCTTTACAATTATTAATTTATAATAATCTGACGTCATTGTATGTTATAAAATAAAATTGTCTTATAATGAAAACTATTCTAAACAACCAAGATCTCTCAAATGTAGCAACATATCAGCTAATATCTTGGAAATTTTATTTCCGCCTAATTGTTTGTTTTGTTTTGCTCTTTCTTCGTTTTCAAATTCATTTATACATGTCAAATTTCCTTTTTTTAGATATCCCATTAATATTGGTAAATAAGAAGATGCAATAACGAAACCGAAGAGACCATCTCTTTTGTAATCATCCAGCAAAGCCTCGTATGAATATTTTTCGCTGTCCCAAATGTTTGCCTCTAAGAGATATTCCTTTAGTGCATCATGATAGGCTCGTATAATCTCGAAGAACTTATCTTTCCTTACTTCATTTGAGCAAGAGAGACAGAGATATGTGGAAAGATCAACGACGGGCGTTGTATATCTCAAAAATGCGAAATCGATCAGTATTGCTCGATATTGTCCATTGTTTTCCATCTTGAAAAGAATATTGTCCAATACAAAGTCACCATGACACAGCGTAGACAATGGCTCTCGCGATTCTACCGCCTTCATCATTACTTTATCAAACGCATTCGAGAGTAAGGCTTCTGTTTTATCACAAAAGGCTGTGTCATAACCCTGATTGCGGAGATATTCTACTGCTCGCGTCGCGGTCAAGTTGAGAAAGATTATACGATTTTCATTTATCATTCTGTCGTATTTAATTTCTTGAAGCTGTTCTACGATAGCGAAAAATTTTTCGCGTTGCAGTTCCTTCATTACATACCCTTTTCCGTGGAATCGTCCAATCTCGCGCATCGCTGCTAATGTGTATTCTAAAGGAGTGTTGTATTTACATGGATATGTACAAGAATAATATCCTTGTTCATTAACGTTCTCCAGAGCGATTATCGAATCAAAAGGCGGTCGTTCATCGATGTAAAAGCACTTCGCAAAATTTTCATTTGGTTGGGCATACATGCGATAAAATAAAATTTCGTTATGAAATTGAACGTCGCTGCGAATTGTCTGTCTAAGAAATTCTAACTGTGTTGATTTCTTTAGTATTATAGAAAATTCTTCATTATGATTCTTTGTCCTATTCTTAAACTTCACGCATATATTATAGACAGTTGACATAATATTGTCTGTTTGTTTGGATATCTCATACCGAGCTTCGTCGAAATTTTCTTTAAGATTCTCAATAATTTTTAATATAACTTCTTTATTCCATTTCTTAACGTCTTCAGTGTGAAACATTTTATTAGCAATAACGTAGTAATAACGTGTAAATTGTTATGCACGATTCTAAGAATCTATAAATGCAAGACACTCTATAGACGGGTTCGTTATCTTGAATATACTGAAACTCGTACCATATTGTCACTCTGGTAATATTCTCCAGAGAGATTATAAATGTAGCTAATTTTACTTTATAAAGATCGTAAATATAATGTCGGGGTCAAAATTTATAATACTGTGATAACAAAAGTTAGGGTACTAAAAATTTATAATACTGTGATAACAGTGATGTATCAACGTGAGATAGCAGTGTATGTAAGTAATTCACAATTATATCTAGAGAATCAATGACTATAATTGATTAAAATTATTGTATACAATATTTTTCTATACAATATACAACATACAATATTACATGTACAGCGATATACAACATCTGATATAATTTTGCGATATTTTCGAAAAATTCGACAAAATTATATAATATTATTATTATATGCTCAGCGATTAATTTTTAAAATATATTTTCCAATAAATCGTTTTTAAAATGTGTTAAAATAGGGCAATAAGATGCAATCAGATTATTATCTAATTTAAAAATTTTATTTCTAGTGTTATAAACGGTATTATTAAATATAATCAATATCATTATCTAATAGCTTATCTCTATTCTACTTTTAAGTGAGTTTAGAAAATGATAAAATACTTTAAAATAAGAGACTAATGTCTTTTATATGCTTCACTCTGAAGGATTAAACGGTTCATCTCTGTCTTTTTTCTTTGGCGTTCGAATAGATGTAAAAAAAAAACGGGGTCACGAAAGATGCTTTCGCGAACAATACGCGGCCACTCGAAGAAAGCTGGAAGAAGTAGATGAAATACGGAATCGTGCGAAGAGTAACGAATGATTGTAGAAACTGAATGACTCAATATAAAAGAACGTGAATCTTTTTGATTCGTAACATGAGATTAACGAAGAATATAATGGAAGCGTGACAAATTTAGCGAATATTTAATATTTTATAATGTTAGCAACATTTATAATGTTAGCAATATTTTTAAAGAACTATTGTTATTTACGAATTTTGAAAAATCAATTCTCTTATTTTATTATATTTATATAACTAAATTCTTTAAAAATATTTCATATATTGTTCCTTGAAAAGATTTTATAAAAATTACATCACTCATAAATATAAATGCAAAATAATGTATATTAAGATCTGATAGACTGTGATCTTTCTAATTGTACACAGTTATTGTAATGATAATAGATATGTATCTATTATCGCTGAAACGATGGATTATAATTAATTTAATGTTAATAATAAAATTATATCTTTTTAAGCAAAAAATGTTGTATTTCTTTTATCTTTTTAAAGTTAGATATTTTTTTGAAAGAAAGATTTTTTGTTACACAATTTTAAATAAAACAGCTATTTTAGTATTTAATATCTCTAACATATCCATTAAATCTATTGATTTATTTATTAAGTATATTTTTACTTATACAGAAAATGTGTATTTAATATTTCATATTTAATATGCACGTAATTGAATCAAACATTTATATAATACATTAGACTAACTCCTATAGTTCATATATAAGTATTATCTTATGTAAAAGTAATGCGTGGAGTGGATTTGCTGTATAGGAACATTAAGTAAAAAAGAGGCATCACAGAATCAAATAACCAGTTTCTTTGTAATTAGTACTGTATGTAAAAATATATAAGATGTCATTGTATTCTGCGCATGTCACACATAATTCTAGGCAGCAGTTAAAGAGACATAGTTAACAATCGCAGAAATACAAATGCTATGAACTGAAAATACTCATCTTTTTTAACTCATACTTTATAATTATTGATTGATGATAATCTACGCATCTCGGAATAAACGCATTGTTATTAAAAATATGTTAAACAATCAAGATCCATCAAATGTAATAACATGTCAGCTAATATCTTGGATATTTCGTTTCCGCCGGATTACTTCAACACATTCCCATAATCTACGAATCTCATGTATGCTAATTGTTTAGAATCTATAATGTAATACGCTCTTACTACCGGTAAGAAGAAGGATGCGATAAAGAGATCAAAGAGACCACCTCTTCTGTAATCGTCCAGCAAGGTCTTATACGAGTATTTCTCGATATTCGAAACGCCAACCTCTAGAAGATATTTTTTCAATGCATTGTGATAGACTCGCATTATTTTGAAGAATTTGTCTTTTATCATTTCATTCGAGCAGCACAGACAAATATACGTGGAAAGATCAATGATGGGAGTCGAGTATTTACAAAACGCGAAATCGATTAGTATTGCGTCATGTTTACCGTTTTCTGTCTTGAAGAGAATATTGCTCGATGTAAAATCGCCATGACACAACGTGGACAATGGCTCTCGCGACTCTACTATTTTCATCATTACTTTGTCAAACACTTGCGAGAGTAAAGCTTCCATTTTATCGCAGGTTACATCGTGACCATGATTGCGAAGATATTCCACTGCTCGTGTTGCGATTAAATTGATGAAATTCTTCCATTCATACTTCTCATCGTATCTAATTTCTTGAATTTGTTTCATAATATCGAAGAACTTTTCGCATTGCAGCTCCTTCATGATATATCCTTTACCGTGGAATCATCCCATCTCACGAAATGCCCGCTAATGTATATTTCAGAGGAATGTCATACATGTATGGACAAAGACAGTATCCTCATTTGCTGATGTTTTCCAAGGCGATCACCAAATCAGAGGACGGTTGTTCATTGGCATAGAAGCATTTTGCAAAATGTTCATCGGGCTGAATCATCCGATAAAACAGTATCTCATTATGGAACTGATAATCAGTATGAGTCAGCACTCTACTTCCTTCATTCTGCATTGGTCTTTTCAATATTATAGAAAATTTCTCACTGTGATCGTTCTTATTTTTAAACTTTACATTTAGATAGTACTGTATAGATTACACAGTTAGTGAACCGCAAACTTCATATTGAGCTTCATCAATGTTTGATCCAAGATTCTCAATAATTGTTATTGTTATCTCTTTTATCTATTTGTCTTCAACAAGCGACATTTTATTCATACTACATTGATCTACTATATTGATGAGAACTATTTTGATCGATTTTAAGTGCCAAAACAAAGCAATATTGAATGAAGTACATTCGTGAATTGCCCAAATTGCCACGATACTATGGCATAATATTTGCTTTTTTAACATTTGTCTTGTGTATACGTAAGATATATCCAATAAAATGATACGAAGAATGGAAGACTTTATAATAAAGACCAATTCAAGCACTTAATTCCTTGATACAAGGAAAAATTTAAGATTTGTTTGTAAAAGAAAGAATGAATGTAAATTATTGAAGCAAATGATAAAAGAAAAGTAATTAAAATTGTGAAATTGTTAGCTTTTATAAAACTATTCTTTTCTGTAGAGATAGGTTCATAACAGAAAATTTTATTGCCTGTAAAAGCAAGTAAATACATTTTTTCTCTGAGCTGGAGCGTTTAATCTACGAGACTCATTATCAGCGCTTCTTTTATTTAGTTTTTGGCATAGAATTAAAAAACAGCGTTTTCTCTTAGTATTAGTGCATTCTTTCCTTCTCTATGCAATTTGATTGAATTATTTAAAAAATAAATATTAAAAAAATAATTCTCGATCGGTACCCTAAGGAGACATTTTCTTACAGATACTTGTAATTTTTTCTTAATTCTTTATCCAATATGCCATAAAATTGGAGTCATTTATAATTTAATAGCTAGAGCAGTTATTATCGGAGCCTTCTTTTTACCCAAAAAAAATCTAAAAAGTTGAGAATGGTTATTCTTTAAATATTATTTTTAATAGAATTAATTATAAAAACTTTATTTAATGGAAAGTTATTCTCTAAGTTCTCTAAATCAGCGGATAATCACTGATATCAGTGTCAAGTATGTCACTGGTAATTAGTGAATAAAATGTAAGATCGCTAATCTATCTAATCTTTATTATATAATCTAACTAATCTTGTTTTAATGTTTAAATTCAGTGAATGTAGTATTAGAAGATTGAAATTAATATGCAAATATCAGTATTTTAATTAGATAATGCTCCAACATTCTCCTTTTTTAATTTTATTAATTATCTAGTGCCAAGTATGCCACTAGATAATTAGTGACTATGATCTATTGATTCAGATTTAGAGAGTAGATACATCTAAGGAGAGAAATTATGACTTATTAAAGAAGAAAAATCTGAGAAACGTTTCATTATGTTTCTATATTAAAAATATCTCGGAAAGAGCGGCAGCAGTGACAAATAAATTAGAATAGATAGGATTTAGAGTTATCAATAAATTTAATAAGATAATAAAAGCACAATAAGGATGATAGCTAGTAACGAAAACTAATATTTATATAAAATTCCGTGCAATGACTGTAATACTTCATATGTAGGACAGACTAAAAGAAAATTGGGAACGAAATTTAAAGAACATAGTGGCAATATAAAGTCAAATCCTTCAAAGCATAATTATATCAGAACGCATTACAAAACTTAATCATTTTTTTAATTGGGACGATGCATGTACATTAAATTCGAAAAATAATTTCCAAAAAAAGGACGATTTCTGAAATAATCCACATAAAAGAACAGAATAAATAAAGATATGAAAATAAAATAGATATAAACAAAGATATGGAATTATTAAATAATGCTTATTTTGATATTCTCAGTGAACTTTCTAATTATGGACGCCAAAATTAATGTATATTCTTTATTGACAACTTTGTATCGATTTATATTCATAATTGATAATATTCAAATGAGTCGAAACGTGAGTCGAAATGTATGTAATTATATTCTTACATGGTATATTTTTATCAGGATCGAACCTGGAACTTCTGGTATGACAGACCAGTTGGCTGGCATGACAGCGCTACTTGCTATGCCACGTACCATATGTGTGCTCTTTATGTAATTTATATTACTGAACTTGAAGTATCAAATTAACTTGA